ACGACAAGAAGCTGTGGGCGCCGGCGCTGGAGGTGCTTGTACGGCACGACGTACCGGTAGTGTNTACGTCGTACAACGGTGAGGAGGCGGCGGCAGACGCGGCGATGTGGCGGGCGGCTGGCGGCGAGGTGACGCTAGGCCCGGAGGCTAATCCCTTTCGCGCTCTTGAGCCCGTTTCCGAGCCGTCGCAGGTACCGGGTAGATGGATGGTTGGACGGCCTAGGGAGGAGGGACGTTTTTGCCATCGGGATTGTGCTACCGGAAAATACCGGAATGGCAACGGAATAGCAACGGAATGGTATTTTTTTGAAGTAGCTGTACACGCTGCATGTAAAAGCTTGCTTATAAATTTGTGCTGCTGCACGCTGTGCTGTCGCTGCAGGTGGACACATTCTACTACCAGAACTACTATTGGTGGTGTGGTCGAGCGAGTCGTGTGCAGCAGCAGCGGCAGCAGTAGCAGCATGGGGTCGAACTGTTGTGAGTGTGCATGTGCAATTTTGCTTGTACATGTCGCGTGTTTTTGTTACTGGCGCACAACACACGAGGTAACAGATCGCTGCTACAGCGAGGTTTTACCGTTGGCGAAGTTGGCGACAGTTGACAGTTGATCTTTTACATCGTTTGGTGTGCGTGGCGTGCGTGGTGTGCGTGGCGTGCGTGGTGTACACGGTTGTCCTCCGTGTGTGGCCGCTTGCAGTGAATCGTCCTCATGGCAGGGAAAGGGCAGCGCGGTGGTGTGTACGTATGTGGGAACCGTCAAGCAGTTGAGGACGAGCGTCATGTTTTGCTTGAGTGCCCTGTGTACGCGAATATTCGCACCAAGCTATTTGAGCTTGGAATGTCTCCTGAGGACCGCATGATAGACGTTATGGGCGTTGAGAACCAACGCGGACTAGCACATGTTTTGGATCATATCAGAAGATGCAGGTTACAATTTATTGATGATTAAATATGTTTTTACAGTAAGGTTAATTTACTACCTTTATATGTTCTTGTTTCCAGTTCGGCGGTTCATGAGCCTCTTGGCTCGTTTGGACCGTACAAGCTTGAAGCTTGTAACACAAAAACGTGAAAAACGTGAAACGTGTCCTCCGTGTTATTCGTACGAATTCATTCAATTATGTTCTCGAATTTTGTTTGAATTTGTTCGAATTTGTCTCGTGACGTGCGTAGTGCTTGGCGTTTTCCTTTTGCTCTTCCTGCAACCCATTCCTGCGCGGGCTATGCCAGCTATATGTGGGCCGGCTGTAGTGTCCTGGGTATCAAGGGATCTAGCATACGCCGATCGGTTCTTTTCCTGCGATAAGACGTGATATAACACCGGCCTTTCTCAGGTTGACATTCACTGACAACCAAACAGACGGACAGACAGACAGACACAGTTTTAGACTGTCGGAAGGCGGGAAGGTGCAGGATGCAAAACTGGGACGTGTACCAGTACAAAAAGAGATGCGTTTGGACGACTATTTACTGAGGAAGGGTTACGAAGAGGAGCTAACTTAAAGCAGAGGTTTTGGCCGAAGAATAGTACAGCGGCTGGAGGGTGGGGGGGAGGGGCTTTTCAATCGCTTGCTGCTGCGGCGCTATGTCGTGTCGTTGTCGTCTTAAGAAGTCTATTTATGCACGGGTATTTATATCATAAACGTTTTGGACGCATCATCTCATTATTATTTCGGTTGTTCCATCCAAAATTCAAAAGTACGCTGTACGCTGCGCGTGATGGCTCCGAAGGAAGGCCCTCCCAAAATTTTAATTTACTGTTGTTGCTTAGCTGAATTGAATTGAGTTCCCACCACACAGTTGTTTTGGCTGTAGTGGCTGTGGACGACAACGCTCATGCAAATGGCGGCCGCACCGGGTTACCGTACTCTGACGTTTCGGCCAGTGTGTATTCACCTGATTTAAGTGCATATGTGGTGTGTACGTGAAAGTGCCTTGCAAGGCCAAGTCGGGCCGTCGTTCCAACGAGTTGTATAATTCGCAGTCTGACACATGCTATTTATTAAATCTGGTCTGGTCTGGGTAGACACTACTGCAAAGAGCGGTTTAAGATCCTGGATTCGATTCCCGGGGAGACCCCCGGATTAGTCGGGAGAACGAGATTATGGCTAGCTGCTGAGATGTGGAGTTGAGGTCACAGTTGATGAACCAGATTCGCACGCTGGGTCGGTGGCGATTGCCAAACCCTCCGACTCTTCGGATGTTCGGGTGAATGATGAGGAGGGGTCCCTGAAGGCTGGATCCGCCGCCTTGGACTTACAGTTCGTATGGCGAAGACAGTGTGGTAGTGGTGGATGGTGCTATAAGGTGATAAATCGTAGAACTGACAATGTGATAAAGCGGCCCAGAAGCCTCCCACTCTGTAACATTACATTATCAACACCTTTTCCTCAAAGTGTGAAGATTCTAGAGAGATTCGTTGCTTTTACGGCAGTGCCGTACCGTACACGTCACCACATCAAACATGCTGCGTGATTCCTGCTTGCTGGATCTGGACCTGAATCTGGAATCTACGTAGCCTGACTCACCTTTTGAGTTTTAAACACACATCACCTGGATCTGGATCTCGATCTGGAACTGAATCCTGCCAGGACGCACCCGTACACAATCTTTGCCTGTCTTCCCCGCCCATCTCCGCCCGTCGGCGCGCAGATTTATACCACAGATAAACTACTGTTCACATAATCTCTACATATAGTATAGCCGTTTTGGTGATGTGTACGTCGTTGTACGTCGGCGGCGGCGCCAGATGGCCTCCTAGGAATTCGTTCCGTCGTCTGTCTGTCTGTCTGTCTGTCTGTCTGTCTGTCGCACTGCTGGCCCCGGCTCCGTGGCCTTGCGTCGACGGAAGCATACTCGACCCCGTGAAGGAGTCCCCTGCTGCTCCTGTCGCTAGAGAGCCCAGCTCTGGAGGGGGAGGAGGAGGGGGAGGAGCAGGAGGCGGCGGAGGACCAGGAGCACGTTGCAAGACCGGACTGATGAGAGCCGCCGGCATGCGCTGCGGCGGATGCGGTGGCGGCGGCGGCGGCGGTGGCAACATCAACGGTGATGACGGCGGCGTCGCCACCGGCACTGCCGTCCAGTGTTTTTTTTAAGTAATATATTACTTTTAAGGAATAAAGAGGCCTTTTTGGCCTTTGGAAATAAGGAACAAAGTGAGGCCGATCCGTACATTTTCATTCCTTCAGCCAAAAACGTCCATTGCTGCCAGATTGCTCCGTAGTGTGCAGAACTTAGTATTATCGATCATAAAATAGATATGAGGGGCCGTAAGAAGGTCAAGCCCGTGAGTCAACGCGGCATAGCAGAATGTATGACCGGTCCTTCCATAGACAAACACGCAAAAGGCAACGACTTGAACGCCGAACAAACACAAAAACAGCAAGATAAGTCTGAATTTTTTCCTGATAAAGGCGTTTGGGACGGCGGTGCTGTTGTCGGTAATGCATCGGCAAGAGGTATGGCAGCGTCCCCAAGCCGTGGGGACCTCTGCCGTTGGGGAGGGCCGTTTGTACCGGGGCTCTCTCCCCTTGGGGAGCCTGAGAATCTCCCCAAACGATTTTCCCTGGGGAGTATTTCGCCGTGGCTGAAGCGCCCTCACCGGACGCGCCCGACCAGTTAGGGAAGGTCCAGGAGTGACTCGCGCCGCCTAGCGCCATCGATTTCCCGCAATCCCGGCGACCTTCCCGACGGCCCAGCACCATACCAATTTGTACGGCATGTACACCCACAGTTCTAAAGCTCCGCAACAATCCTCAAGAGCCGGACAAAACTTGAATATATTTCAGCGTCCTAATGGAGGTGATTTTCCGTGTTTACTTCCAAAAGTCCTAAAGTCGTTCACATAGATTGGGGTCTGGCCTTCAGCAATGCTTAAGGCCTATCGCATAAACCAATACAATCCTTGGCGTTAGGCAATTTTCCTACAAACGCCGTTCCCGAAGCCACTTCTCCATGGCTCGGAAGGTGCGGCGAGGTTTCTCATTATTTAATTGTTTGCCGATACTCATAATTTGCCATAGCTCCTATGTAGAAGACGGCAAGCACAATGGTCGCGGCAGCCCTGCGCAAAGTCTGCGATGCACTGGAGCAGGTTTTCACCAAATTCTCTATGGACACGTTCAAGGGCCTACGTGTTAAGTGAGTATATTGATGGGTTGTTTTTGTGGAAAATTTCCGGTTACCGCCGTGTTGCCATACCATAACCCTGAGGCTCCATGCTCGACTTTAGGCAACTCCCGGCCGTTGTGCTTGTCGTTGCGTCCCCGACGTCCTCGGAGATCGAGTGCCACGATTGGGGCTGGATGAGCGATCGTCGGCTTATGCCACACGTCGAGCACTTGCTGAAGAACGCGTACGCTGTGAGGCAGCTGCAGGCACCTGCACCGCAGGTCCGAGTCAAAGCTCGGAAACAGCAATCAGACGACATCCAGCGTCCCGAGGCGGAATCTTACTTCGTAAGGAATCTAGGGCGATTGGCCTGGCAGGCAAGTTGGAGACGGCATGGTGCTGGGGGGCCTGGCAACACAAGCCTAGTTCTTACCGTTGTACTATCTCCTGCAGATGGTCCTAGAGCCCGCCCTGCAGAACACGTTCGGCACTGCGGCGCAGTACGTGCCGCATATGTGCAATAAGGGGGTCACCAAGGACCTGTCAGCCAGGCAGATTGGAAGCTGGGCGCCTGTATGGCCACACGTGTTGCCCTGGGTTTCCCATGCATTCCCTTGGTGAACGCACAGACTGTGGATCTACGGAAGGAACTGTGCTTGCAGCTGATTGCATGGGCAGAGTCACGTGACGAGCGGTATGCCGCCAAGGTGGCAGAGTACGTAACGCTTTCCCATGCTTTGTTGCCCTGTTTGGTACTTCCACACTTTCATTTTGCCTTGCAGGCTGCGAGCCACGAGGGAGGAACTGACGCGGAGTTTTGAGGTGGATATGCGTGTAGTAGCTGCATGCTTTCGACATCACAAATCATGTTTTTGGATGTGAGTGCAGGAAGGGAAGCAGGAAGGGAAGCAGGCAGCCAAGCGGGCAGGGGCACGCAGCATGGCAGCTGATTTGCTGGATGGGGACCTCAGTGATGCAGAGGGCCTTGAGGAGGATGTGGTCGACGTGGGCGGCAGAAACGGGCAGACCTGCCACAGAGCAGGTAATGTCTGGTGGTGGCAAATTGGGCATTATTGCATTGCTGACCGATGGTACCCATGTACAGGGACATCGGCGGTCGACCAGCAGCAGCTGCAGTGTGCCTTTGAGCGTTTCAACACGCGGAAAAAGAAAGAAGGCATGTCCGAACTGAGGGCTGCGCTAGCGGAGATGGGTGTGAGGCTGAGCCGGAAGGAGTTGGGTGCAGCACTCAAGACTGCAGGGTTATCATGGGGCCAGCCGACACCGCAGCAGGTGGGCCAAACCGCATCATGACTGTCTTCTTAGCACATGAGGCATGCTGTGAGCCATGGAATGCTGACGAGATAGTTTGTAATGCAGATGACTGAGGCCTTTCAGCAGTTCGATCAGCTTCGTGAGATGTTCGGTGAGGAGGAAGCCATTGGCATGGTAACCGGCATGGCTGGCTTCAAGACAACAGTCGCGACACGCAAGAAGCTTGTTGATGCTGGGCTATTGGAGGCACGTAAGTTGGGTCTGGACATTCTTGTGACTAGGAGAAAACATGTTCTTATGAGCTCTCCCCTTGCAGGCAAGCGTGGTCGGCCTGGATGGGGGCTGAGGTCTGGTCATGCAGTCAGCGCCGTCAGCACTGATGATGACGGGGCATCGTATTCGAGCACAGGAGAGGACGGGGCTGGAAGCACTTGCAGCAGTCAGAGTGGTGGCGCCGATGACCTGGACCCTGATGCACCCTGTGTGGTATGCGGGGAGACAGAAAAGGGTACCCGGGGTGACATGCTATTGTGTGATGGATGTGATGCTTGCTATCACATGACTTGCCTGACACCACCACTATCCAACATTCCTTCTGGGGACTGGTATTGCCCACACTGTGAGCCCGTTGTAGACATGGCTGGTGCCGCATTGGGCCCCAGCACCAACGGTGGTGGTTGGAATAGCAGCCTTGATACAGTGTTGGGGGCCGAGCCGGTGCAGCTGCAGCCTCCCACGCACGCTGTATTGAGCCCCCGCGGCAGCAGTGGGGATGATGGGGTATTCGGTCGCGAGACAACACGGTTGCTGCTGCCCACTCATGGTCTAATGGGCCCCACTATCGGTGGAGGTGGCAGAAGCGGTGGCGGCAGAAACAGTGGCGGCCAAGGTGGCGGCGGCCAAGGTGGCGGCGGCCAAAGTGGCGGCGGCCAAAGCAGCGGCAGCCAAAGTGGCGACGGGCAAAGTGGCGACGGGCAAAATGGTGGCGGCCAAAGTGGCGATGGGCAAAATGGTGGCGGCGGCCAAAGTGGCGGCGGCCAAAGTGGCAGCGGCCAAGCGGGCGGCGGCCAAAGTGGCGGCGGCCAAGCAGGCAGCGGCCAAAGTGGCGGCGGCCAGGCAGGCGGCAGCGGCGGTGATGGGACTTTGAGAAGTGAGATGACACGGCTTCTGCTGCCCACTCACACCGTGCTGGGCCCTGGTGGCAATGGAATGATGTGGTCGCTGCCGCATATCCATGCCGTGTTGGGTCTTGGTGCGAGTGGTGGAAGTCACCGCGGCAGAAGCAGTGGTGGTGTAAGTGGCTGCTGTGGAAGTGGTGGTGGTGGAAGCGGTGGCGACGGTAGCAGTGGTGGCAGAAGAAGTGGTGTTGGAAGAAGTGGAAGCGGTATCGGCAGTGGCAATGGGGCCTTAGGAGGCGAGCTACCGCAGCTGCAGCCGCACCTGCATGCTATGTTCAGCCCTAACAGCAGCAGTGGTGGGGGGATGGGAGGCGGTGGAGCAGGTGGAAGGGGCGGCATTGGTGGGACTTTATGGGGTGAGCAGGTGCAAGTGCCATGCATGCTTAGTGCATGCAACGGTGGTGATGGGGCCTCAGGAGCCCAGACGGCCCAGTTGCCGCCGTCTATGCATGCCATATTTGGCTCAAATACCCGAGGGGGAAGCAGCAGCAGTGGTGCCGGTAGAGGACGATTGGGCAATGGCGGGAAACGGGCCGCATCTGATCAGGGACGAGGGAGGGCGAATAAGGGTGGCAGGCTTGCAGCAATCCTGGAGTCACTAAAATTAACGGAAGATGCAGTGTTGGTTTCACTGCACTGCGGCAACGAGATTGGTATGACACAGGTTCCAACGTTGGGATACTGACACCATGTCCGTGGCGGCAGAACATTGAGCCCGTGCTGAAAAGTCATTGCAGGGGACGCGGCCACCCTAGGATATAACCGAATTGCATTGGTATTCTAATGTCATGAAGGTCGTTGTGTCAAATTTTCAGGGCGATTGGAGGGGGTCGACTTCGGAGGTACCGGGTTTCGCATGGCATTTGGATTCTCGAGTGTGGCCAGAAGGGGAGGTTCGAAGAGTTGAGGTTGTCCCTTCCAAGCCAAAATTTCTGTTTGTAACCTTTGTTGCTGATTGAAAAGGCCTGTATAAAATTTTCAGGACGCGGGCTGCTTGGCAGAAATCCATGTCGAGATATGTCGCCATGTCCGTATGCCATGGCCAAGGTCGACCGTTGACACTCAACTCTGACACTAGTCAAGTTAGACATTGAAAACGAAATGACGCCCATCACAGCTCATGGCATCAGTTCAGGGTGCGGCTTACCGGTATGTCGGCATTGGTATGGCTGCTTTACGTTCCGGAAGGCCATCTCCATGAATGCCAGCTTCCCTGCTCGAGAGCAAAGATGGGTAGGCCTGTATCAG